TGAAAAGGTATATGCCACATCTGAATTGATTTAATCACCTGCCCTATCAAGTGCTATACTGTACCTCATACCTAATACCCTCCTGTTTTCATTGTGACATTATCCTAAAACTACTTAAGTACAATCCCAATACTCTCCTGAAAGCACATTAATCCTGAGTACAAGGAAACCACATAAAATGCAATTCTCAGGTAAGCTTTTTTTGTAACAGTACATTTTCTAAAAATAGTTTCCATAATTCATTAATGTAACACTAACGTTTTCTGTAATTGTAAAAATGGCAAATGACATTGTCCAAGCTTTCATGAGTGTTTGATGCTCATGCAATACGCATGTTTTAATTAACATTACCAATATGTTCACAAGGACGTTAAATACTGTTACTATGTAGGAAATTACCGATGATGGTATCAGGACAGATTAGGGTATGTATGCTATTTCTATATAATAATACACTTAATATTTAAAGTCTTCCCCTTTTAAAAATACCCACCCTGCTCCCATCTATTTGCAATTTCTTTTTGGCAAAACACTTCCTAAACTCATTTCTTCTACTTAGATCCCCTGTTAAGTGGCCCTCTGCAATGCCTCTTCAGTGAGTGAAGACCATTAATCCATTGCTGCAGTTTAGGCCCACCACCAACTTGTCCTGCCCCTAATCATGCTACTCCTGGAGCCTTTAGGGCTTTCTAGGAACCATGCTAATGGACTGATTGGGAAGTGTCCACATCACAAGACAGTAGTGTGGGAACTCGAAGCAGGACCCTCCCTCCACAAGAGGGAATAGTCAGGACCTGGCGCAACCTGTCAACAGATTTAGGTGAGTATTTGGGCCATTTAGTTCAGGCTTTTTTTTATTACAGCAGCAATTAGTACAGAGAGGGGTATTGTTTGTGGATTATATTATATTATATTTTTATATTATCTGGAGTATTTTTTCCTTCTGAACTGGAAGGGTTACCAATAAAAGCTTGAATCCAAAAAAATCAATACTATATTAATTAAAGATGTTCAGTAAACAAAGTTTTAACCTTATCTTATTGTGTTATGTTTTGCAGTATTATAAACAACAGATACTGCAAAACTTAAAGTGGTTATAAAGTTTGAAGGTTTTTTACCTTCAAGCATTTTATGCATAACGGTAAAAAATCTTCTGTGTGCAGCATCCCCCAGCATCCCCTAACACTTTCCTGAGCTCCCTCTTGATCCAGTGATGTCCACGAAAGTCTCAGTTCTCTGGGAATTGCACTCTTGATTGGCTGAGGCAGCAGGAGCCATTGTGATTGTCAATCACAGCCAGTGAGCCAATCAGGAGATAGAGGGGGTGGGGCTGAGCCACGGCTCTGTGTGTCAATGGGCCTGCAGAGCTACGACTCAATAGCATGCTTGCTCGGCTGCCCCCATAGCAAGCTGTTTGCTGTGGGGGATCCCAACAGGAAGGAGGGGCCAGGAGTGTTGGCTGGGGACCCAAGAGGCGGATATGAGCTGCTCTGTGCAAAAAACCATTACACGAAGCAGGTAAGTAAGACATGTTTGTTATTTTTAAGAAAAAAAAACCTAAACTTTAGTACCACTTTAATAGAAACAGGCAGGTAAGAAATGCAATTTCCCATTTATTTTTTTACTATCTTACATTATAGTATAATATTCACCATTAAATGTTATGCTTTAAAACATATGATTGTCATACATTTTCTCCCAAAGAATACAAAAATCATAAAATATAGTATATGAACTCAACATTAATATCACACACTAGTGGTTTGCAGATGACCAGTGGATCTAGACAATGCAGTAATTCACCAGCTAACAGAGATGCTTCTGTGTGGGAGCAGATGATTCTGCTTGAGCAGTATGGCTGGGTTAGGTCAGTAGAGGCCCATTTGTAGAGAGTGGAATGAAATGAGCACAGTATGTGTTTGATACCCAGTCAAAACTACTATACAACTCATTTCACTGTGTCATAGTCATTATTTCAAAATGCACCAAAAATAATAAAAAGAAATCTGATTTAACTTTCTGATCCAACATTTCTCACTAATCAAGTCCGTGCTTCCTGTGGGTTTTCAAGTAATTCCTTTTGAAATGGGTGAAGAACTTGCCCTGCATAGAGGAGTCAATAGTTGACCATATACAGATGAACACAGCTTGAGTTCTGCATAATGAGGTTCAGTAAACCATGCCTTCTCACTTCTGAGGGTAATATTTGCCTTTTGGCAAGTATACTCTACTATCACAGCCAAGCAGTGTGATTTCCGCAATCAGCAACCAAAAAAACCTTTGGCTTAAATTGAGAAACTCCTCAGCACCCTGTCTAACCTCATTTTCAAACCCGTGAAAAGCAATTACAGAGAATTATCACTTGACAGTGTTAGAAAATAATTTTCAATGCAGCAAAAACATTAATTTCATAATTATGCCCCATTTTGTAAAACACTTGAGTAGCACTTTTTGGTCAAGAACAAAATACAATCTGTTTAGGGGGACTTGTTTTTTTTTTGTTTGACAGTTTTGGCAGGTTATTAAAAAAAAATTATTGCAGGATTAATAACAAGAGCCAGTTTTATCCTGAGTCTATTTTCAGCCTATTAATATTGTGGATTTTGTATTATAATACCTACATAAACAGAACTAAACCTAGTGGAAACAAATTACCTGTAAATCACTCTGTAAATTGCTGGCACTGATGCCAAACTGATTACTGACATAATGTGCGTTTTCATGTCATACGTGTTTTTAATAAATATTATAAGTTGCATTCACTAAGTTTTGATGACTATCTTGAATACAGTGGCTGCTGTGCTTGCAAAGTTTCCACATGTAGTGTAATCAAAGAATTTCAATGATTTGAGCTCTCAGTTAGGACTTTATACCAAACATAAATGTTTCCCAGCAGTCAGCCCTGTTAGGCTGCAAAAGGAGCCTAATTAAAAGCTGCTTCTAATGTTTCAGTTAAAACAGAGGTCTCAGTTTCTCCCATTGTGCGCCTCAGCCCCTCCTGCTGTGTACTTTCCCAGTTATTTATACATTATTGTCTTCACTAAGCTGCATTAATTCATTTAACCCTGTTTGATATTTTATCTAATATTTTTCTCATTAAAATGTAAAATTTTTATAACCAAATATTACATAGGTATGAATTTGTTAGCCTAAAGCTATTGAGAGTTTAAAGTATTGAACCCCCCCCACCAAAAATCATAAAGTCTCTAATATGCTTTTCTGCTTACCTTTTGATTTTCTGAAATCTGCATATTAATCACTTCTGCATAGCACCCTCCAAGCCTTTCCACTGTGTGCACCCATGCCATAAACTTGAACACACCTCTTCCCTTAGATAAATCACAAGCCAGCATTTGGCTGGCCTTTCAATCTCTACTACTGATGCTGTAAGTGGGCAGAAAACCTGTTGTGTGTTAAATGCAAAATAACTATACTATAAGGAGAAATGGTATATGCAGTAAATAAACCTGAAACCAAAAGCCCAAATGTTTTTTTCAATGCACTGGAAGGCTAAGATCCTCTGTCTGGTTTTGACTGTTGTCTATGTCACCATCATGGAGATTTGCTTATATGTCCTGCTCCAAGAAACTCAACAGAAAATAAGTAGAGTCTTAGGTAGACAAGCTCCTTAATGGATATAAGGAGTGCTGATGTGACAGTTCTGTTATGAAATCCAATGAGGTATCCAGTGAAAGAATGGTAAGATTGCCTACTAACCAGAAGCGCAATCAATATGCGCATATATGAATGAATCCAAGACCAGCTGGAAGTCTGTTGTGGGAACAGCCAGGTGGAATGTTGATGTCCTCCAGGGGGTCCCTCAATCAAATAATGGGTGCTGGTCTGGTCTATCACCTCTCCTCTGGTCCGAATGGAACACCAGGGGGTCCCTCAATCCAGTAGTGGGTGCAGGTCTGGTCTATCACCTCCCTCCTCTGGTCCGAGGGCTGCACAGAGCAGTCCAGGACCCCAGATGTCCCATTCGGACCAGAGGAGGGAGGTGATAGACCAGACCTGCACCCACTACTGGATTGAGGGACCCCCTGGTGTTCAACATTCCACCTGGCTGTTAGACTGGTCTTGGATTCATTCATGGTGGTCCATTCCAGGTGATAGACCAGACCAGCATCCATTATTTGATTGAGGGACCCCCTGGAAGACATCAATATTCCACCTGGCTGTTCTCACATCAGACTTCCAGCTGGTCTTGGATTCCTATATGCGCATATTGATTGCCCTTCTGGTTAGTAGGCAATCTTACCATTCTTTCACTGGATACCGCATTGGATTTCATAACAGAACTGTCACATCAGCCCTCCTTATATCCATTAAGGAGCTTGTCTACCTAAGACTGTATTCATTAGTTTTCTATTACTTTAGCACTGCACTTTATTTCTTTATTTTGCTTGCTATTGAAAGGTTTTGTGGTTCTTTTTATCAGTGCATTTAGCTGCTTACGTGTGCGCTCGCTAGGCCTCCACAGTTTTAGAAAATAAGTAGAAACCTCTACAAAAAAAAAGGGGTGGGGGATTCCAGCTCTGACAGTTGTTGGAAGGTATCTATGCCTACTCCCTTGACACAATTAGGGATCTGCCATCACTATCAGTGCCAGGGACTGTGATCACCATAGACAGCAATAAAAGAACTAACAGGTGTTCTATCCTTTTCACACACTATCCGTCAACATAAAATAAAAAATAAATGTTTACTACAATTATACATTTTACAATTATACAATTATAAATATACATTTTACTACAATTTTACATTTTTATTCTAAAATTTAACGTAATGAGAAGATATGTTAAATGTATTTAAATATTTGGTTTGTGAGTACATATCCTTCGGTATTCATTTTGGTGTAGGGTTTTCACCACTGGAAAGTTGTGAAAATAATAAAGTTTTACATGAAATGCCTCAGTCTCTCAAGGCACATGCATCAAAATGTAATTATTAGAATCAGTTGTTTTGATATATATCTGTATAAATCTATCTATAATATGCAAGTGATTTCACAGTATCACATTTGTGGCTTTTCTCTCCAGATATTTATAAACAATGAATGGCACAATTCAGTCAGTGGTAAAAAGTTCCCTGTTATTAATCCCGCTACAGAAGAAAAAATATGTGATGTGGAAGAAGGAGATAAGGTAAGGATACAGTTGGTATAGCTCTTTAGTGCCTAAAATCTTTAAGGCTCTGATTTTGTTTTCTCATTGAAACCAATTATTCAGCAAAATGTACAATACAGAACAAATAATTGCGACGTGTAAATAAGATAGTTACCTACAGCTATTCAGGAACCATTTCTCCCACTTTTTCTCATTCTGCTTAATACAGTTAAATGGAAGCTGTAATGGTTTGGAGTCAAGGATATTGTATTTTGTTTTGTTTTTACATTTTAAAGTTTTTAAAGTTTTTCAATTATCTGGCTCTATCCAACTTTCTTTCTTTCTCTTTCTTTTTTTATCTGGCTTTTTTTATCCTTTCCAACTTTCTTTCTTTCTTTCTTTCTTTCTTTCTTTCTTTCTTTCTTTCTTTCTTTCTCTTTCTTTCTTCAGAATCCAACAGCACAATGAGTTATCTAAAGTAAAGGGACAGTGCTCACTTTGTGACTTTGTTTGAAACCTCAGACTAAGCTATATTTCATATTTATCAAACTAATACACATTACTTATTGTACACTTTCCCTTTAAACAAGATTCTGTTTTCTACTGCCCATCCCCCCCATTACAACCTGGCTTCACCCGTTAGGGATCCCTAAATGTCATCTGCACACCTCAAATTTGGAACATAATACCATTGAAAGAGCTTTCACAATAAATGGACATATTCTGCACTGCCAAGTACAGTAACCTGAGGCATCCACACAGAAATAATTACTTACCTTCTATGACTGGTGAATTAAAACTGGAAATATTTAATGTTTGCCAGAAAATTGCAGGATTTGGTACAGATCTTTTAAATTATATATCAGATTATAAATGAGTAGCACAGTGGCTAAATGGTTAGCACTTCTGCCTGGCAGTACTAGGGTCATTGGTTCAAATCCCAGCCACAGCACCACCTGCCTGAAGTTTGCATGTTCTCCTGTGCCTGTGTGGGTTTACTCCCACACTCCAAAGACATGCTTGTAGGTTAATTGGCTCCTGTCTAAATTGGCTGTAGTATGTGTATGTATGAATGTAACTTAGGAACCTTAGATTGTATGCCCCTTGGGGGTTAAGGACTGATGTGAATTTACAATATATATGTAAAGTGCTGTGTAAATTTACAGCACTATATAAGTACCTGAAATAATTAAAATAAATGAGAGCCCTTTCTAAAAAAAATAGCAAAAAAATAAATGTACCAATATGCATTATAATGTTCCTTAGCAAATAGATACATGCCAACAGTCAACAAATCAAGTTTTAGTTAGAAGGTCTTTGCTAAATGTATTCTATATGAGTAAATACTGTTTTTGATTCCAGGCAGATGTAGATAAAGCAGTAAAGGCTGCAAGAGAAGCATTTGCGATTGGGTCACCATGGCGCACGATGGATGCTTCTGAAAGAGGAAAACTCTTGAATAAATTAGCTGATCTCATTGAACGTGACAGGTTGATTCTAAGTGTAAGTAAATTTCACATGCTAATATAGTGTGCTTGATGAAAAATATGAGTGAAGAAAACTAGAGAAATGTGAAGCAATTATTCATTACATCCAATCTTTTCTTTGAAAGCTAAAACTTAATATGAGATTTTTGGCAACTGCCTACCTTTTTTCCATCATTCTTTGCCCCACTTTTTGTAAATCAGCCTTAGTCACATTGCTGTTATGTACTGACAAAGAAAAAATTACACCTAATAGATTTGTAAAACTTGTATTTCGGACAAATTTATACAGTTTCACACTCAAACAAAGAAAACTTTTTTTTTTTTTTTTCAAATGTTTTGCTTTTTTTTTGCTTATAACGCAAAAAATAAAACACCCAGTGGTGATTAAATACCACCAAAAGAAAGCACTATTTGTGTGAAAAAAAAATTATAAAAATTCCATATGGGTACAGTGTTGCATGACTGTGCAATTGTCATTCAAAGTGCTACAGCACTGAAAGCTGAAAATTGGCCTGGGCAGGAAGGGGGTATATGTGTCCAGTAGGCAAGTGGTTAAGACTGCATTTCGGTTCCTATGTGCCCAATGAGGCACTCTTTGGATATTGTGTTGGTTCATTCAACCCTGTATGCTGAGTGTAGGCATGTGCATGCTTTTATACATTGTTTATGTGCTTTTATACAGTAATAATAAAAATTTGCATATTTTTTACTGAAAACTTGGTTGCTCTGTAACGGCATAGCTATAGTCCAAACACTCATTTTCTAGATGATTGTGATTATATGGAGATGATGACACTAGGGGGGTAGAAATTTTGGTGCTATAAGTTCCACACCTTCTCAATTTTTTGAATCCATCTTATGGTTATTACACATAAGTATGTGCAGACTGGGTGATAATTTTGGAAGCATACAAATAAACAGGTTTGAATTTTGCATATTCTTTTATTCTTTTTTTTGATTAGGCCTATGTCTGGCATCTCTTTTATATATACAGAAACAAGATAAGCTGAGTTGAGTGTGGCTTGTGGGAATCTGCAGTTTTCAAATAAATAGAGAACCTATTTTCTTAATATTCTTAAAGTGATTACCAAAAAAGTGTATATTGACCTGGGACTGTTTAGTGCGTGCAATGGTACCAACAACATGAGTATAAACAATACTGTGTATAGGAGAGAAGCGTAAGGCACCAGAAAGAGTCAAGAAGTGCCTCCAGTACAATAGAAGTTGCTAGTTTTTATTTAAACAGTCATAAAATACAATTTACTTAGTACATAATAGAACCTGATACAACAAGGCTCAAATATAGTAAAACACTACAACACCATGCTCTTATTCCCCATGTTACTTATCTGGTACTTATTGATTATGCTGGTTACTTATTCTGAATAATGAGAAGTCTTCTAAAAGCCCATGTATAGCATACTCGCAACATTATTGGAGACAGACAAACAAGCATCTCTACTCATTTCATTGATTTCAAATTCTTCAGGCATTAATGGTGGGCAAACAATTGGGTTTACCAATTAAACTGAAAAAAGAAAAGGAAATATTATTTTACAAGTGGTAAACATCTGTTCACCTCAGTATCCTCCTGCAGGCGTTTGCAATCCCAAACATGGCAATAAGACCACATTAGGGGTTTGTCCAAAAAAGGGGGTAAAAAGGCTTCCCACTCCATGCCCCCAACCACAAAGAGACACACCCAGCTCCAGTGAGAGTCTCTGGGGCTGGGTGTGTCTGTCTACAGAGGGAGTGGGAAGCCTTTTTGTGACCTATATAATGATTGGTGGCTGACATCACTGTAAGGATATTGTAATTAAGTGTATATATTGTCAAGGTCCTACCTTTTCCCTGAGGTTTTATTACTCCATGTGCTGGCGTCCATCTTGGATTCTGCTGTGCATGGTGGGAATCCTTTTATGCCTTCAGGTCTCTGAGGTCCATCCCCCAGAGGGGTGTGGCTGATGACATATGAGCCTGTGGCCCGCACATGCTCTTTGCACTTGTGTCTTTGTCTTCTTGTGTCTTTGTCTTCCTACAGCTCTGTGTATACGCTCGTGACTCTTCTGGTATCTGACTCGGCTTGTGATTAAGACCATTCTCTGTGTTTTCCTTCGATCTGACCTTCCGTTGCTGAACCCGGCCCGTGACCTGTGATTCTCTGTCTACTGTTCTGTACCGTTTTGTCCCGTTGTTGTCGACCCGGCTTGCCTGGCTACCCTATTGTCATTCTCACCAGCTACACGCCATTGGCGGCGGCCATTACCGCAGCCGGGGTGTCTCGGGGGCCGCGACCTGGTTCCTGGCTGCGTCAAGTCCATCCCCACCATCAGGGGCCCTGGTAAAGGGCAGCCTGGGACTTAGACTCCGCGCCCTGAGGGACTACGGTCTGTTGGTGGTGGTTGTCGTCAGCCAGTGCGTTACCCTGCCACTAGGCCTACCTGTCCGTTCCACAGCCCCGCCCTGACATATATACTGTATGTATATATATATATATATATATATATATATATATATATAATTACAATAGCAATCACATGCACACCCAGTTTGTGTTGTGAGCAATGATGGTGCAGATGGTGCTAGGCAGGGCTCCATAATACACTGGGGAAATATAAGGGAAACACACCCCCAACATGGCCTCTTTGCCATACTTAAGATCACAAACACATGGAAGATAACAATAAGGTCAACAGACCTTTACCAGTTGGAAAACATACTATTTTATGACTGTTTAAATGAAAACTATCAACTTTTATTGTATTGTATGCACTTTATGACTCTTTTTGGTACCTTAAAAGTCCTTTTCTCGTTCTTTCCTTTGTATTCTTAAAGTGAACCTGTGGTTTGCCCATGTAGGGCAAATCAACAGGGTCACTTCCATTCTCCACCTCTCACCTGGCAGCATATATTTTCTTTTGCTCTCCCTTTTGCTATGTTTGGCTGCCAAAAGCAGTAACATCCATCCTGTGTTGGCTGTGTCACTCAAGTCACAGCTTGCACAGGGCTATGGGCTTTCTCATATGAGAGCAATGCTGCTTGGTGTTTGGCCCAGTGCTGCAACATGGAGTGAGCCACATGCTTATACATGCCCAAAACTATTGCTTGTTTTTTTTCCTCCTGACAGCTAAATATAGCAGCAGGGAGAAATGAATTGATGAGTGTGTGCTGCTAGGAAGGGGGAAGTATAGCATACCTGTTTCTTTAACCTTCAATGGCGAAAAACAGCTCTAATGTAAGGCAGCACCAAAATTAATAAAATACTGAAGGCAGATATTGGTGAAATTTCTAGTAAGGCAGTTAGTCTTATTAGTCTATAGGCACATATCTTTTAGACTGGTCACAATTTTTTTTTTTTGTGGAATGAGGAATTTTGTGTTATTTTCGGTTCTTTTACAACCTCACCAGTTCAGGTCATATTACTTGTGAGCTGTAACTCTTCCCTCTGATGTGTCAGGTGCAGGACACACTACTTCAGTATACAGTATTATGCCTTCCCCCAGGGCCATAAATCCATCATTGGAGCCTGCTGACACAACTTCTATTACAAAGAGCATTTTCCAGTTCTGCTGGTCCTAAAATGCTCAAAGTTATTGTGACAAAGTGTAAGCAAGCTCATATGAAATTTCTTTACACATATACTGCATGTAGTTAAAATCTGTACAAGGAAATTCTGCTAATTTGCCTTGGCCTACTGTACTTATTTGGAAATCTGGTCTCCACAATACTGTACTGTCACACCCATTCTACTCTCCTTCCGTTCCTTAAGGAAATATGGACTTTTTCTAAAAATCTTGGAGTCAATGCAATTTAGAAATTTTACAGCTATTCAAATTCATGTATGTATGTTTCTGTAACTGCAAAACTACTAAAGTTTAAAAATAAAGTTTATTTGGCTTGTTAATCAGCAACATGTATTTGGTAGATATAATACATTTGTGGTGTGGATTTTATTCTCAGAGTATGGAATCCATAGATGCAGGAAAACCATTTGCTGCATCCTACTTGGCTGACATTCCCGGAGCTGTGAAATCTCTACGTTACTGTGCAGGCTGGGCAGACAAAAACCATGGTCGCACAATACCAATGGGTATGTTATGTTCCACACGTGTGTTTATTATGTCAGTACAACTCTTTTATCATCATTATTGCTGTCTTAAAGAAAACCAGTGATATAAAAATTTGGCTTGGACAAGCAACCATCTCATTTATGAGCTTCCTATTTTATTTGAACAATAAAAAAAATTCACTGGTCAACAGGGAGCTGAGATACCACCATTTTAACACTCCTGATTTTCAGGTTCTAAGACATGGGTATAAAAGATGTACAGGCCCACCTGCTTCGACACACTAAATGTTTTTCACAGAACATAATAAACAAGACCACACCAAGGGCTTTGAGTTCAGAAGGAGTCTGTTGCTGGTCAGATCAGCAGAGGTGTCTGTTGTCATATGTTGAGTACAGTGTTGTGCTGTCACGCATACTGGCTGTATCTCTAGAAGCCTTCTAGAGATCCATCAGGCATGAATGACAGCACCAAAGTGACCACTGAATGGCTTTTTTACAGATTCCTATTTAGCTCAGGACCCATGATTGGGACACCCATGGAATCGAGAGTTACCACCCTCATCTTGCATAGAGACAGGTTTTTTATCCACCCACATACTTTGTGTGTTTCCACTTCCTAGGGTGACCATAGCCTCAACATGATATACAATAAGTCATTGAAAAGTCATTTTTTTTTACCTTAGGTTGAACCATTTATTTCTTTGAGCCAATTTCCATTTTTCTAACCAACTTACTACATTGTAAGGGCTTTCTGCCTCTTACTTCTATTTTCTGGTGGACATCTTGAGCTTCACTAGAGAACACTGACCAGCCCTCTTGGTCTGGACACCTTAGACCTTTTTTGATCAACACATCCCAGATCCTACACCAAGATCATGATTTTAGTGGCCATTACAGTCTGTTCATTAACATTTTAAATACGTATTTATTAACACACACAGAAATATATAAAGTCTTTAGGGTCTATGAAGCCATATAAAAAAAAAACATCATTGCAAAGGAGGGCCCCCAGTTACCCAACATTGGCTCAAGATATTTTCACTATACTACCAGAAAAAAAAAATCTTGACACCAACTTCCAAAGTAGTTGAGGGATGCCACACTTGAGATGGTTGCCCTATCTAAATGAAGCCTGCTTAAAATTCCTAGCCTTCACAAACTTTAAATTGGCTGCAGTGACAAATTATGATGGCAAGCATAGCACTAGTCAATATTTACTATGTTTCCTACATATGAAATCAGAGAGAAAGTGGAACTCATGATCAAAAAGTTATTGCAGATGTATAAATGAGATCTCCTGTATGGTTTATGTATTAGGGTAGGCTCAAGTGGCAGCTAGACAGTGTTTTCCTGCCTCCAGGGAACATGTTACTTGCTGTGTTCTCCTGTGAGTGACTGGACTCCCAAATAGAAGTTATTTAGGGAAAAATACATACAACTCCCTTGTGAGTCATTGTTAAGCTATTCTAAGAAGATTGCACCAAGCTATCGTGACTGTTATATGCTGAGCTTTAATGCTTTAATGCTTTTATATGCTGTACCAACTATGAGACTGCTCTGCTATCACAAGAGAAGGAGTTAATAAGCATCCAACTCTTTGAGTGTTTTTACTGTACATCAGAGAATGCTGTTGCAATATCCAAAGCAGGTGACCAAATCAGAGAGAAGAAGCAAATATGCTGTTGGACCCAATGTGTAGTGGCGGGGAGAAGATCAGTGATTTCCTCTTTTGTAAGTTCTGGTTAAGTAATGGAAACTGATGTGATGGTATGGCAGGAGTGTACTATACTAAGTAGTGCCTGCCTTTTGGATAGGCCCATGCTCATGTTTAATGCATTCCAAGGTGGGAACACTGAGTACACTGTACTAGGACACCAGAACCATTCTCTGTGCCACTTCCACTGCTGAACAAAAGATGTGGTAGGCCCTAAAAAGTTGTTGTTGTGGCAAGAAACAACTTACTGTTCTGTTACATTAAGAATGATGGCCTCAAGCATTTTCATTTGACCAACAAAATGATTAATTACTTATTAGACTAACCCCTATTGGGCTAAAGCAACACTGATCAAGTTCCATAATTTACAGCAGGGGGAACCAAAGTACCAGGTCATGGGCATAAATCATTCCAGAACGTTGGCTGTTAGAGCTGTGTAGCAGCAGTGATCAGACTTGAACTATAATTTGTAAAGGCAATACCTGTCAAATGATTGGTCCAGTAATATATTTGAAAGTGTGTTTTTCAAGTCTGTGATCTGTTACAGTCGGAGTTCAACCAGTGTTTGCTTCTCCATAATCTTCACATCTAGTTTTAAATCTTGTATCAGAATAACATGGTGTTCGTTTTAATTTAGTTATTTAGCCAAAGTTACATTTAGTTAAAGTCTATATCCAGACAATTTTTTAGTTGTAAGTGATAGACAATAAAAGCTGAAAAAGAATCAGTACAGGACACTTTTCATTGTTTACTTAAAGTCAGGCAATCTGTTCCAAAATGCTTCTTTTGTTTATGCGATTAGTTTTTGATTTTTTTATTTATAGACGGGGACTACTTCACTTTCACAAGACATGAACCCGTTGGAGTATGTGGTCAAATTATCCCTGTGAGTATGCAAAGTATTTCCTGTTGTTTAATGTTCAGATGTAATCATTGTTGACAAGTCAATTAGGGAGAACTGAATGAGGATTTATTAGGGACAATTTTTGCTTTATGGGTAACAAAGTCTATATATTTTAGTCATTTGAATATTATAGGTATACTGTACCTTTTCATAACTGACTGTTCGGTCAGGCACATTAACTGTAGTTAGTTTTTGTCATGTAGATATTATATGGTGCAATACCACTACCTGTGGCTTACGCAACATTTTCTAAGGTTAACACCCTGGTCACGTCAAGCCCTACTTTGAAATTGTGCGACTCACAGTGAAGTGCCAATTTCAGGTGCGATTTCCAAGACATCTGATACAGATGTCTATACAAATCACACCAAAAGTAGTGCATGTACTACTTTTGAAATTTGATCAAGTCGGAACTGCACTGATATGACCGCTCTAATTGCAGACAATAGGCTGCAATTTGGCATGCAATTTGCAAGTCGTTGGCATGCAAATCGCATGCCAATTCGCATCCAGTGTGACCGGGGTCTAAGAAAGACATCATCATTATTGTCTATGTCTGATCTACTGTAGTCACTCATCCAAGAAGACAAACGATTATTGCTGTGTTCTGCTCTGTTCATTTGTTAGGGAGAATAAATCTAATATAGGTGTAACAAGGTGAGTTGCATTAGTAGGTGATGTATTAGTAGGATTATTAATTGTTTATTGTTTTGTCCATAGTGGAATTTTCCACTTGTAATGTTTTCCTGGAAAATCGCACCTGCACTCTGCTGTGGCAATACAGTTGTCATCAAGCCAGCAGAGCAAACACCACTGACAGCTCTGTACATGGGATCACTAATAAAAGAGGTGAGTGTGTTTGTGTAATAGCAAATACTTTACATTACTGTAGTAGACCTTTGAATTGGTTTAAAAAGCATGTGTAGTTACATGCATATACCTTATATTACAATAGTACAATTGCAGTGTATTTGGTTATCAGTTATGCAATCATTTGAAACCTATGCGTTTTGCATTAAAGGGTAAATGTACCATTCTTCAGAAAAGTGAGACAGAATTGAACAGATCATGATCTGTATTAGGGCCAATTCACATCATATCCCTTGTTGGGCATGTTCAGGTGCCATTAATTGTCAATGACAACCCATCTAACAAACATGTGTTTGAGGCCACCAAAATATATGGTACCGCAGTACCATATGGTTTGGTGCAGGCACAATTTTATAAGTCGCATCTACCGTATTCTTTACATGCAGAAACGCATGAAAACCTACACGAATGAATGCATGTTTGGGTGTGAACCGGCCTTTACCCTAGGTTCATGCCTAAGCATTTTCTGCAGTGTTTGCGTTTTGCAGAAACGCAGTACAGTCCATTTAATATGATCTCTTATGGGACAGGTTCACATCTCCGCATTTTCACCCGGTGTGTTTTTTGGAAAGGGTCAGGGACTATTTTGAATGCAAAACATTGTGTTTTTGGTTCCAAAGACTGCAATGGGAATGCTGCAGAAAAGCATGTATTGCGTTTTTGCTGTGTTTGTGCTGCATTTTTTATGCATTTTGCATTTAAAATCTGCCTAGCAACAAGAAAAATACACATCAAAAACGTGGCAAAAACATGTCAAAAACACAAGTGCAAAAATGCAATGCAGAATCACCTCAAACGCAACCTGCATAGGTGTGAACCTAGACTTAAAGCAATGACCAGACCAAGACCTGCCATAAAAAGAATGAGCAAATTCCTATTCATCTTAGCAATGACTTTATTATACAGCCTGCATGTGGTCAGTGGCTCCAGTGCAAGTTAGCATCTGTTAGCCAGAAGGATCCTTTCTTGAGACAAACATGGAGGCTACTATTCTTGAGCTATCCTTCTGAGAATGCTAATTGCCTGGCCGCAATACTGGCCCTCTTACCCTTTGCGAGCTACTGAGTCGCTTTGCAGGCTTCATTTATACAGGACCCATTGTCATCACTTCTTAAACATAGAGAGGAAGCTACATAGTTACATAGTTAGTCAGTCTGAAAAAAAGACAAAAGTCCATCCAGTTCAACCATAGGGAAAAAAAAGTTATAATCTTATACCCACAGTTGATCAGAAAGGAAAAAAAAAAAGCTGCCCATCAAAATAACAGCTGGGACCCACCAACTGTGTAAGGATGCCCTGAACTTTTGCATTAATGCTAACTTCATAGATCAAGGTCTTTAAGGATAGGTTTTCACTACTGTGATGCGATTTTGCTATAATTTCAATGCAATTATGTAATGCGACTTTAATACAATTTGGCTGCATTTTTACATAATCTATGGGGCCAAGTCACACTGTAAATTGCACCAAAGTAGCACAGGAACCTTCACTAAAATCACACCGTGAGTCGCATTAATGAGAATGGGCACCATTGTGATTTCCCTTGTCATGTAATTCTGTATGACTTAAAGTTATAAGTCTCCCTCCAAAAAAATTTAAGTCAACAGCTACAAATACTGTAGCTGCTGACTTTTAATATAAGGACACTTATCTATCCAGGGATCCAGTGATGTCCTCAATTGAGCCGATTCTTCAGTCGGCTTTGGGTGTTGGCTTCTTGGCTAAGGGAATCCAGCAGTGAAGCCTTCTGGCTTCACCGCCGGTTTCCTACTGTGCATGTGTGAGCCGCACTGCGCTGTGTGATAGGTCCCACAGTCTTATGGGACCTGTGCTTGTCTCAGAAAGCTGCGGGGAATAGAGAAGAGGTCGAAAGATCACCATGGTGATCTTACCCATAACTGGGAGCACGTACCTGACAAAACCAGGTACCCGCTCCGCTTCTAAAAAAAAGTGCCACATGTTGCAATGGAGGGGAGAGGAGGCAAACAAGCAGAAATTCCCCTTTTGGGTGAAGTTCCACTTTAAGTTGCATCAGAAATGCACACGTGTGAACCAGAACTAAAGGAAACCTGTCATTAGAGATATTTGGAAACATATGGTGTTTCCCCCTCTTCTTCATTAAAATGCAACTTGCTAAACCACTTGCTTCAGAGCTTTCAGTCTATCACTTGAAACTGGTATGCAGAAAGGATTACAACTGCTTTATTTAGCTGATCTCTAATTTGCCTTAACTTGTTCAAATACAACAGTTTTTACAATTTTTATATATGTTATAAGTAAAAAAAAGCAGTACAATGTAACAAAACCAAGGAAATTGATTCAATTTGTATTTGTTTCCCTTCAGGCTGGATTTCCTCCAGGTGTAGTGAATATTGTGCCTGGATATGGACCCACTGCAGGAGCAGCCATATCAAATCACATGGATGTAAATAAAGTGGCTTTCACTGGTTCAACAGAGGTACTTATCTTTTGTTACATTTCTCCTATGGTGATTCTCGACATATAGCACATGGTCAAAGGGTTCTCAAGTATATAAAATTACACATTATAATAGCTTGAATGTTAAAGCTAAACTCTGGGGAAAAGAAACCCTGTAGAAAATCATCCTTTACAGTGGGGCTATCCACACAACAAGGCTTAAATGCTTGTTTATGCCTAGGATACCATTAATGAGACTTTTACTTACCTTTTCCTTGCTCCCCCAGTAACTGATGCTCTCCTTTTCTACCTGACACCAGTTTGTGGGCAGCTTGGGGGGTCCCCACCTACAGTACAATCACAGTGCCTACGACTGCCCGAGTAGAGGCTATGGGGTAGGGGGGAGGGAGGTGCAAGTTCAAGGATTACTATATACTTCCTTCATTACTTAGTGAGTCACTGACCTGGAACATGCATGAGTATATCAGGTGTAACATGTAGAAGGATAAGCAAGGGTAAAGATGATAGACCTTAAGCATGCAGCTGCAAAAAAGTCAGATTTGACACTGCCAAATTACTAACTGACACATTTCCTTTGAAAAGAATTAACCGCTGAATATTTCCTGCAAGGGTAGTCAGTTGCCCAACTGCAAAAGGGGCCCAGTGGCCTGTTTAATAAAATAGATAGTTCATGCTGTCTTAGATTACCTAAGATCTAAAACATTTTTTTTTCTCTCTCAGAGTGTTTAATTAGGCATTTGCAATGCATGTTGACATAGTTATATGTCTTAAAAGAAATGTGATTGACCTCTTTTTGTAATGGTAAATGCAGCTGAAAAGCTGAATTCTCCTGCTGTCTGATAGACAGTGCTAAAGGGGTGGGTGGGAATAAAGAAGGCATTTACATATTTTTCCTAAGTTTCTGCCAATCTAAAGGGCTGTGGGAGGAGCTAAGAATGGTTTCTAAGCAGCTACAGCAGCATCAAGGGTGACAACACTGCAGTCATTTCACTGCAGAAAGAAGAGTGTTGTCACCTTATCAAAAGAGCCACCTATCCATTCATTCTACTGGGAGGGTCAACAGATTTTTTTTATAAATGTTCCAGGGAGTACTTAGAAAAACAGTCCTATTGCTATGGGCAGACTACATTATACATGGTCTTTTATAGCTTGATCATACTTTTCCTCATTATATAATTTTAAGAGTCTGTTTACTGACTACCATAATTTAAGAAGATAAATTAATAGAGCTAGAGGTAGCATAATACTCATGATTAGTGATGGGCCAAACACCCCCTGTTCGGTTCATGGTCAAGCATTCGAACCTAACGAAAATTTGACCACGAACTTCAAACAGAGGGGACAAATCACTAAGTGGCATCTTACCGCATCTGAGTATGAGGTAAGATACCACACAGCTACTAAAATATCTCCTGAGTTATTTTGTTCAGTCATGCAGTAGTGAAAACATTCTTTAATTTTTCAGCTGTCAACAGGGTTCCCCACTGACAGCTGAATGTAAAATGAATTGCTAGCATTGCCCAGCAAATCAACAAATACATTTATTTTTTTAAAACGGCGTGCCCCCTCCTGAACCATACCAGATTACATGCCCTCAATATGGGGGATGCTTTGGGGCAGGGGGTTTATTGGAATCTGGAAGCCCCCTTTAACATAAGGGCTCCCCAGATCCCGCCCCCCATGTGAATGAGTATGGGGTATGAGACCGCTACTCATTCACAAAAAAAAAGTGTAGTCACCCAACCCCCTTGTGATGTCAGACTCAATCCACTACAGTCTGGCTTCCGTCCCCTGCACTCCACCGAAACCGCCCTACTCAAAATCACTAATGACTTGCTAACCGCCAAAGCTAATGGCCACTACTCAGACCTCTTACTCCTCAACCTTTCCGCGGCCTTTGACACAGTTGACCACCCCCTCCTCCTTAATAAACTACACTCCCTCGGCATCAGAGACTCCGCTCTCTCCTGGCTCTCCTCCTATCTATTCCAACGCTCCTTCAGTTTTACCTATAATGCTACCACCTCCCCCTCTCTGTTGGGGTCCCCCAAGGCTCTGTCCTCGGGCCCCTTCTCTTCTCCATCTACACCTCCTCCCTCAGCAAACTGATACACTCCCACAGCTTCAACTATCACCTCTACGCCTATGACACGCAAATTTACCTCTCCACCCCTTGCCTCACCCCTTCAGTCTCTGCCCATATCACCCAGCTACTGAACGACATATCAGACTGGATGTCGCTCCATTTCCTCAAATTGAACCTTTCCAAAACCAAGCTCCTGATTTCCCTCCCACCCAGCCCGCTCCCCCCCCACCCTCTCCATCACGACCAACAACGCCACCATCAGTCCCACCCCACAAGCCAAAGTCCTAGGTGTCACTCTAGACTCAAACCTATCCTTCCAACCCCATGTCCAATCGTTGGCAAACTCATGCAGGCTCCACTTCCGCAACATCTCCAAAATACGTACGTTCCTAACCCCAGACACTACTAAACAACTCGTTCACTCCCTTATTATCTCACGTCTGGACTACTGCAACTCCCTTCTCACTGGCCTACCTCATCACAGACTATCCCCGCTTCAGTCTATCCTGAACTCAGCGGCCAGATTCATCCACCTTACCAACCGCTCCGCTTCTGCCACCCCCCTCTGCCAATCCCTCCACTGGCTCCCGATTGCCCAACGCATTAAATTCAAACTACTAACACAGACATACAAAGCCATTCATAATGCTGCCCCAAACTACCTCACCGACCTGATATCCAAATACCACCCTACCCGTAATCTTCGCTCCTCACAAGACCTCCTACTTTCTAGCTCCCTGGTCTCCACCTCCCACGCCCGACTGCAGGATTTCTCCAGGGCTTCCCCCATCCTCTGGAACTCACTACCCCAATCTATCAAACTGTCACCTACCCTCCTCACCTTTAGGCGCACCCTGAAAACCCATCTCTTCAGGGAAGCCTACTCCACCCTCACCTAACAGCCAATCTCCTCCAATCCTCCTACCACTCCATCCCCCACAGCCACTTCCTCCTGTACCACTATCCTCTCCCTCCTAGATTGTATGCTCAAAAGAGCAGGGCCCTTGACCCCCTCATGTTTTGTTTTGTTACTGTATTGTCTCATGTACTGTCCCCCACTATAATGTACAGCGCTGAGCAAACCTTTTAGCACTATATAAATACTGTATAATAATAATAATCATGCACTGTGATTGGCCAAATCATTGCACCTGACCTGTTGTCAGGTGCATAGCTTTGGCCAATCACAATGCACTATCAGGGATCAGTGCATTGTGGGACGTGGTGGGCACATAGCCCACCAAACACCCCTACCATTCGTGTGTTCGCCGTACACAGGAATAGCAGATGTTCGAGTCAAACTTATGTTTAACTCGGACATCATGCCTAACACTACTCATGATTTGTGATAGCTTGAAGAATTATCGTGGCCAGTCTGTTTTCAGTAAGGACAGACCCAATAAAAACATTGTATCTATATGTTATTATCTGAGTTCAAATGTGTAAAGTAACCATTCTTTTTGTTTAAGGTTGGGAAGCTCATAAAAGAAGCAGCTGGAAAAAGTAATCTGAAAAGAGTTACACTGGAGCTCGGAGGGAAAAGTCCAGTAATCATATTTGCTGATGCAGATTGTTAGTAGCACTATACTGTCTTAACTATTTCCTAACTTATCTGGTTAGTTAAAACATCATTACAGACATCTGCAGTTTGATGTGCCTTGATCAGCCTTTGATAATAAGGCAAATAGCAATGTGTGTAAACAGCCATGGCAACCATGTCTAATTTTTCTGAACTGTGACTGGCTGCACTTAGCACATCCTCACTATTAAATAAAATAGCAATAGTTAACACTATCAGCCAGAGACTATGCGCTCACTTACATTGATTTACAATTCATGACAGAACTGTGTGGGAAATAAATTCAAAGGGAGCAAATGATTTAGTAGGAAGCCATAAAACTCATAAAAATCTGATATAGTACATAGATAAGAAGGCTACACACACACCCAACACCCCTAGTCAAGCAAAGAAACACAGTCAAAACTAAAACTAGTTCAAGCACCAATATTGTGAGGACAGCAAAAATGATTCAATCTGGCTACATAGTCAATCCACTACAACATCTTGATACATATGCATAAAGATAAGTACATAATTTATAATATAGTATGTAAGTATATAATATACACTATATTGCCAAAAGTATTAGGACACGCCTCTATATCATTGGATTCAGGTGTTCCAATCACCTCCATGACCACAGGGGTATAAAATCAAGCACATAGCCTTTCAGACTGCTTCTACAAACATTTGTGAAAGAGTGGGTCGATCTCAGGAGCTCAGTGAATTCAAGCGTGGTACCATGATAGGTTGCCACCTGCGCAATAAGTCCATCCGTGAAATTTCCTTGCTACTAAATATTCCATTGCCGACTGTTTGTGGTATTATAACAAAGTGGAAGCAACTGGGAACAGCAACTCAGACACGAAGTGGTAAGCCACGTAAAATGTCAGAGCCGGGTCAGAGCATGCTGAAACGCACAGTGCGCAGAAGTCGCCAACTATCTGCAGAGTCTGGCAGTTGCCAGGAGAACGGTACTTGCCTGACTGCATTGTGCCAAGTGTAAAGTGTGGTGGAGGGGGTCAAAAATTCCCATAGACATACTCCTAAACCTTGTGGACAGCCTTCCCAGAAGAGTTGAAGCTGTTATAGCTGCAAAGGGTGGGACAGCTTAATATTGAACCCTACAGACTAATACTGGGATGCCATTAACTAGAGATGAGCGAATCGAACCTGGCGAAGTGGAATTCGTTTCGAATATCAGGAAAAATTTGATTCGCATCGAATCCGAATTTTAGCAAACTTCGGGTGCACGAATCAAATTTTTTCCCGATCAGCCGGCAAAAGTGTCACTGCAGAGAGCTCCGCTATTTCTGACAGTTCTGACAGTTCATTTACAGCGGTTGAAACATTGTATCTATTTGTTTCCATTTAGGATACAGATGTTTTTATTCGGAAATAAATAGATACAATGTTTCAACCGCTGTAAATGTGAAGGAACTGTCAGAGAACTGTCAGAAATAGCGGAGCTCTCTGCAGATACACTTTTTGCTGTACTTTAATTCTTCTTCTTTTCATTCTTCTTCTTATTTTCATTCTTCTTCTTCTTTTCATTCTTCTTCTTCTTTTCTTTTCTTCTTCTTCTTTTCATTCTTCTTCTTCTTTTTTTTCATTCTTCTTTTCATTCTTCTTATTCTTCTTTTCATTCTTTTTCTTCTTCTTTTCATTCCTCTTCTTCTTCTTTTCATTCTTCTTTTCATTCTTCTTCTTCTTCTTTTCATTCTTCTTCTTCTTCTTTTCATTCTTCTTTCTTTTCTTTTCTTCTTCTTCTTCTTCTTTTCATTCTTCTTTTCATTCTTCTTCTTCTTTTTCATTCTTCTTCTTCTTCTTTTCATTCTTCTTTTCATTCTTCTTCTTCTTCTTTTCATTCTTCTTCTTCTTTTCATTCTTCTTTTCATTCTTCTTCTTCTTCTTTTCATTCTTCTTTTCATTCTTCTTCTTCTTCTTTCATTCTTCTTTTCATTCTTCTTCTTCTTCTTTTCATTCTTCTTCTTCTTCTTTTCATTCTTCTTTTCATTCTTCTTCTTTTCATTCTTCTTCATCTTCTTTTTCATTCTTCTTTTCATTCTTCTCATTCTTCTTTTCATTCTTTCTTTTCATTCTTCTTCTCATTCTTCTTTTCATTCTTCTTCTTTTCATTCTTCTTCTTCTTCTTCTTTTCATTCTCCTTTTCATTCTTCTCATTCTTTCTTTTCATTCTTCTTTTCATTCTTCTTCTCATTCTTCTTTTCATTCTTCTTCTTCTTCTTTTCATTCTTCTTCTTTTCATTCTTCTTCTTCTTCTTTTCATTCTTCTTTTCATTCTTCCTCTTCTTCTTTTCATTCTTCTTCTTCTTCTTTTCATTCTTCTTCTTCTTTTCATTCTTCTTTTCATTCTTCTTCTTCTTTCTTTTCATTCTTCTTCTTCTTTTCATTCTTCTTTTCATTCTTCTTCTTTTCATTCTTCTTCTTTTCATTCTTCTTTTCATTCTTCTCATTCTTCTTTTCATTCTTCTTCTCATTCTTCTTTTCATTCATTCTTCTTTCTTTTCTTTCTTCTTCTTTCTTCTGTTCATTCTTCTTTTCATTCTTCTTCATTCTTCTCTTTTCATTCTTCTTTTCATTCTTCTTTTCATTCTTCTTTTCATTCTTCTTCTTCTTCATTCATTCTTCTTATTTTCATTCTTCTTCTTCTTCTTTTCATTCTTCTTTTCATTCTTCTTCTTCTTCTTTTCATTCTTCTTTTCATTCTTCTTCTTCTTCTTCTTTTCATTCTTCTTTCTTCTTTTTCATTCTTCTTTTCATTCTTCTTTTCATTCTTCTTCTCATTCTTCTTTTCATTCTTTCTTCTTCTTCTTTTCTTTTCTCATTCTTCTTTTCATTCTTCTTTTCATTCTTCTTTTCATTCTTCTTTTCATTCTTCTTCTTTTCATTCTTCTTCTTCTTCTTTTCATTCTTCTTTTCATTCTTCTTCTTCTTCTTTTCATTCTTCTTCTTCTTCTTTTCATTCTTCTTTTCATTCTTCTTCTTTTTCTTCTTCTTCGTCGTGCCCCGTGACTGCCCAAATGAGTGAAGTGTGCGGTGATTCTAAGATCGACGGCACTCATCTGCATGTCATACTGACTGACAGTATTATTTCTCTTCCCCAGCAGACTCCAAGGGCATTTAAATTAAAGGTACAGTGTTCTGCACTAATATAAAGGCTCTCTGAAGCCTAGAAACCCTTTTAATAAGTTAAATTTGCGGCGAATAAATTCGCATCGAATCGGCGAATCGGCGAATCAGCCGAATCGAATTTTTGAATAATTCGCTCATCTCTACCATTAACGTTCATATGCGTGTAAAGGCAGGTGTCCCAATACTTTTGGCAATACATTGTGTGTGTAAGTATGAGTACATCATTTCTGTATAAACATGCATTATGGTTAGCTGGATGTGGTTATTAGTTATTCTATAACTTGCTATGTATATTGTTTTTCATTGATCTTAATAAAAGGGAAGTATGGCCAAATCTTTTTTTGGTCATACTTCTCTTGTGGGTCACTGGGGTATACTTATTTTTGCTGTCCTGTGACCCAGATCAGCAAGATATTGCAGCTATCAGCTAACATGGCAAAGCCGCTCCAGATGGGTCCCGATAATGTTTTTTGGATCCATTCAGCTGCCTGATGGACAGCTGGCTCCACCTCTCAACATTTGGACTGAGAACTGAGAGCTGAAGCCAGTTGCGTCTGCCCCCTCCCCAGCCTGGTGCTGCAGTGAGTGCTGGATGGATGAGCAGAGAGCAGTGACTGATGGTCACTGCTTTCCACCCTGAGCAGACTAAGAGCTGAGCAATCAGTAGTCATGTGACTACTCAGTTCTCAGGCTTAGAGCTAACGTGGAACAGCTTCAGCATCGCACTGATGCTGCAGTGTAGAATTGAGTATGTGTGTTTATTGTATGTTAAGCCTTACTTCTCCTTTAAAGAAGGGAGCCACAGGAAAAGCCATTGTAGTTATTCTTGGCAAATGGTGAATTTGCAATTTTATGCAGCAAGCTAGACTTGCTGACTTTTTCCAGATGTCAAGTACTAGAACTCACAGCAAAGTAGTGCATTGGATATTTAGCTCTTTTAGATATAGCCATGTATGTGCATGAATAATGCAGGGTCATCCAAACTATGCTGTAGTTTCTTGGTACAGAATGTTTATCAGAAGAATCATAGAGTGATGTCACGGATGAGGGATCTGTTTCCACTCGGGACAGACTGGCTAACCAGGACTTGGTAGTAACTACTTGGGCTAGGTGATTGTGTAGGCCACAGACAAGGCACAGTCTTGCAGGGTAACAGAAACAAAGGACTTTGCAGTGATTGAATACTCAATGGCAGGGAAGGGAATGAGGTCAGCATGCCAGATTATTCAATGAAGGTGAGAGCTCTTAGGATCAAAGCACAGGATCTAAGGAGCTGCCTGGTCTTCACCAGAGCACCCCACAAGGGGTGATGGGTTTTGCTGATGATGATTCTAAGATGACTCCTCTGACTCACCCAAGTAGCCAGCTAAATAAGACAGAACACAAATAAACCAGGATAAGTCTCATGCAGCACTGGGGTGCTGGTTCATTAGAAGTAATAGTAAACAACCTCTGGGCACAGAAGACATCTATAGAGTCCAGGAGATGCACTGGTATAGAGAGACTGGATGCAAGCTGAAGTGATCAGGTAATCACACAGTGCTGGTAACAAGTTGCCGGTTGGGATACACAGGGAATCACAGAAGTATTGATATGGGGATTGCTGGCTGTATTGCATAGGGAGTCATACAGGTGAAAGAAGACTGGATACTGGCTGGATTGCACAAGGAAGTAAAAGGTACAGGCACATTAGTTGGAGGCTGGAGTGTATAAAGAATCACACAAATGCTGGTATCCAAGTTTATGCCTGGTATACACTAAAAAATTACACAGGAATTGGTTGTAGGGAGCAGGCTGGAATTGTCTATTATAGAGTATCAGTGGAATTAGTAACATTGGAGACACTGAGGAACATGTAGGGGTCACAGAGGATCACTGGAGATGCTCTTATGGAATCACTAGGAAATATAAGGGACTCAGCAGCTAGCATTGAGATAAGTTGCTCAATTGGCAACATCTCATGCGCCAACCATTAAGAGACAGCCTGACAGCAGAGTGGCTGAGGCATTGATGGCCACTGATTGACTGCAAGCCAGTGGTCTGGTACAGGGCACAAGACCCAGCACTGGAGAGTGGAGCAGGTGAGTCCGACAGATAATGGTTCACTTTATGCCTTTAAAGTTGTAATAAATGCTGCTTTTTATCTTGTACCTACAGGTAAGCTTATAATAAGGCTTACCTGTTGGTATAGTGAATAAACATGAACTGTTTTGGTACATATTCAAGATCTGTAGCAGTCAGTGAAGTCACTGGTGCATGCGCACTATGCTCTCAGTGGACAGCTTATTGAGATATACATATCCAGTGAGATAGGTGTGACACAGCTGTGACTCTTGCATGCATGTGCAAAAGTGATGTCATCGCGGCTCAGCCATTCAAATGGCAACAGCCTGTGAACCTGGATGGAAGACCTGGTGAGTATGTAATTCCTGTCAGCAGTGATAGAGCATCACTAAAGGGATCCACTTATTATTAGGTAAGTCTGTCATAATGTGCTAGTATGCGGTGCATAATAGCACTTTATGACATGAGCCTGTGGGGGGGAGGGGGGTTAATGCAATTTACCACCACTTTAACAAGGCACTAATCTGTTGCTGCAAGTAGATATTTGTGCATAAAATAAGATTGACGCTAAGATACACATACACACATACAGTATATATACAGTATATTTAGATCAATCCAATGAATTGGCAATAACAGATAATCCTTTAGTAATGTGGGTTTATATTTTTCCTTTTCAGTGGACATTGCTGTGGAGATTGCCCACCATGGTCTGTTCTATCATCAAGGACAATGTTGTATAGCTGGATCTAGGATATTTGTGGAAGAGACAATCTATGACGAATTTGTGCGCAAAAGTGTTGAGAGGGCAAAAAAGAGAGTTCTAGGAGATCCTCTTACACCTGGAACACATCATGGTCCACAGGTGAGTATGTCTCAATATTGTATCAACTCCTAATGCTACTCCAGAGGGAACCTAGAGTCTAATATACTCAACAACAACAAGGCAAAAAGGGATGGACTTCTAAATAGCCAACACAGGATGGAGGACAAGGTCTTTCAGGGCCAGCACACATCCAAACACATTTTTGCTTTTACTGCATGGTTTGTGCATTGGCATCAGTGAAATAATGTACTGTGTGTTTACAATTCCACCTCTCTGTGTCTTTATACCTAGAACTGAACTGACAGCAAATTTGTATGACAGTTTTCCTACCCTTCTAGTCAAGCATCCTAAGTGTTTTGATGCAAAGTGGGCAATCTTTTCTCTTTCAGCCTCTCCACCACAATACTCGGCATGTCTTACTATGATTTCTGATTCATTTCTATGGGTTACCACGCCTTTCATATTCTGAATAAGCCCAAATAACTCTCTATCCCCAGTGGGTTGCTTATCTTCCCTCATAGCAGGTGTGCTGCTGACTGTATTTTGCAATCATATCACATAAGCAGATGCACTGTGAATATAACACCTTTAGCTTAACAGTTATGCAAGAATGATTCATTTGTGTGTGCATTAAGGAAAGAGTTTTGCACATAATCAGACCCAAAGGTATTATAATTATACATCCAAGTAAAAGCTGCTGTATCAGTCGTGTGTGAATTTGCCAGGTTCCCAGGCTTTCTATGCTTTGGGATCAAAATGTGCAAGAAAATAACTAGTCTAGCTTTTGGCCAGAGTCCAAGGTGTTGTGTTCAGTCCTTGGCCTAGCCACATGATTAAACATACCGCTTGAACAGCTACCAAATTGAATTCTGATGTGTACATCTTTTTACAGAGAAGAAGATAAGAAACCCATATCTTAGTAGTGGGAGATTATACTATAAAACTAAGTCTGTCGTTTGTGAGATTTTAACAAGCAGACTTGATTGTTCAACATAAATGCATTTTTGGTCCTCTTTTCTATTAGGTGTCTAATCAGACTATCACTTTCGACAAAGAAAGATCTAAAGCCTACAATCCTCTTAGAATTGCCCATTGTATTTCTCAACTGCATAAAGTTTGTTTTAGAATGTGGTGACATATAAAACTCCTGCATAAGTTGTGTGTTTTCATTATTCATCTATTGGCTTTTATTGGTTCTTATGTTATGTTATTCAAAAGAATTTTTCAGCAAACAAGTTTTTGGCAGTGAATTGTAAACTAGTTATTATCTTCAGTTTTTCCAAACATATTTCATTACATCTTGAACTACCACCATTTGAATGCTATGCATTATATAATCAAATCCATTAAGGAGAGTTTATAGGAAACTATATAGTTTGACTAAAGCCCCAGACACAAGGGCCAAATATTGGTCGGTATCGGCTGATTCAATAGAAACATTCGGTCCCTGTGTACACCCGCCTGAACGGCTGACTTCTGGAAAACCAGCATCCGATCAGTGCTGGCAGCCAGTGCCTGCCAGTGCTGACTGGTGTGTTCTGGTGGGGGGGGGGGACAGTCCTCCTGCCAGAACACAATAGCTCAGCAGGGAGATTGCTGTACTATCCTTGCGTAGTAACTACAGTGACCTCTTCCTGAGCGCTTCAGTTTTTTTTTTCGTTCAGCTGCTGGGTTGAACGAAAAAAAAAGCTGACTGTGTGTACCCAGCTTAAGTATAAGAAAAAAGATGATTAGAACTACTCACAAAGGTGAGATAAGTAATTTATTAGAGGAGAGTATTTGAAGCGGTGCTTAGGTCAACTCTAGGGTACATTTGGGTTGATTTACTGAACGTAACAACATTTGATGAAGTTGTGCATGGTAGCCAATCAGCTTTTAACTTCAGCTTGTTCAAATAAGTTTTGACAATAAAAGTTTAATTTTAGAAACTAATCAGCTGGGAGTTGATTCTATGCAGAGTTGCCTCCAGTTTTGCAGTTTCCAATTTTAGTAAATCAACCCCATAGTCTTTTTCCCACTGTGTTCTCAAGTCACTATGTCAGCCTAAAAAGTAGACATAACAGAGCCACAAAATACAACAATTATAACCAATATAGCCATGATTATGCTAAAAAAGAAGCAAGACCACAAAAGTAATTAACATTGTTTTATAATTGAATGCTCTTTACATTGTTATCTAACACATTTGGATTCAGGATCTTTAAAAGGCATCTAAGACATATGTTCACGTGTCCCACCCCCCAATGTGTCATACATTTTCAGCTCTAATCATTTTTGTCCCACTGCATGTACACCATAGTTGGCATGTGTACCAAGCAAACCTGCAATGGGGGGGACATGTTGCTGGGCTGCTTCAGGGGCAAAATGTATTGTTGGTTATGATACATGGTAAATTTTGACTATTTTCTACTGAATCAGTCAAAAATTCAACCATGGGAGGGAACTCTCTATACAACCCAGCTTGATAGCTTTGATTAAAAAATTGAAGGTAGAAAATTGTCTGACAAACAGTAACTGCATCCAGTCAGATGTGTTCACTGAGATACGACTGTAGGAAGGGGATTTGTAAAATAGAAGAATGTGGCTGTTATTTGGATAGAGATTATATCCTGCTAATGAAAAAAAATGAAATGTTTTATTTTTTCATATTACACACTGGGGTATGATGATCATATATATATATATAATATATATATATATATATATATATATATATATATATATATATATATATATATATATATATATAGCCTAGTTGCAAAGTGATTCCATTTACATTTGAATAGAGCTGGTGTAAAATGATTAGGTTATATCATGTACCATGAACTGGCATTGTTTAGGGTGTACATAATTATAGTTATATCCTTGTAGCAAATGGTTTGTAATTCTAATGGTGTCTAAAGGTAAGTGTTAAAATATTTTAAGAGCTAGTGATGCATCAGGAGTAGTTGAAATGTATTCAACCCACAATATTTTCAGAATCTGAGACACACACTGGTTTGCATATTTATATATAGTATACAGAAATCAACATTGGGGGTGCACTACAAAATTATAGAAGCAATGCACTGAAATTGTTCTTATGGAGCAAAAATAACCATCACCTTTATTAACTCAGGGTAAATGTCTTTTTGACCATAAGGTGTCTTTTTTAGCATACTTTCTGTTTAAAACTTTAGTAAAAACATTTTGTAAAGCACTGCGCAAACTGTTGGTGCTATATAAATCCTGTATAATAAATAATAAAAACATTTGCAAACAAAATTATGTGTGTTTTTAGTGGTGCCCAAGTATGATAATAATTATATAAGGGTTTAGAAACAAAAATGTATGCTTTGGCTCCAGTCATTCCTATGTAGAAGAATAGAAGAAGTATACAAACAGAATATAATGTATACACTATGGCATACATTTATTGTGTTAAGAAGATCCACTCACTAAATTACCTGAATTCCTTTCCATATTATGTCCTTACAAAGCAGACAGCTACCCAATCAAGCATAGCACTTTTGTAGCTATTCTCATTATCTGGTATACAAATTCTGCATTATGAAGCTTGGCTCGAGTTACTAGTTAAACAAATTAAAATTAATTGTTAGAAAAGAAACCTGAGATTGAGAAAGAGGGGATTAAATGATCCCTTAATTCAAGTGCTAAATAGAAAGAAAAAAAATTCACACCAATACTGTGTGATTCTCAGAGCAATTCTTTTCATGTTGTGATCATGAGTAGTTATGGTTTGAAGACATTGCACAAGATAGTTGCTGCATACCACCATTACGTAGAATTGCATGCATTTTAAAGATATGTTATTAAAAGGCAAGCACAAACAGGACAATTTACCTGGCTTTCTTTTCGAAGTTATGAAGATTATATAATGACATCTTGTTCCCACTGAACATATGAAAGAGATTGACATTTTCAGTTTACATTTTATAAACATGTTTTTCATCTTTTCAATTAGTAGGTTAAACGGTATATATAAAAAAAGAGGACAGTGATTTTGTATACTAAAATGTATTGCATTGTAGGCTATTAAAGTTTCAGTTGGTTGCTTATTTGTGGTCTTTTAGTCAATGGAGCATCACTTTTTAGTTGTGGAATCTGAATTTCAATTACAAAAATGACCAAAAGAATGAACTCAACAAACCAGTTTCTGTTGACGCTGAAATTATTTAAAGAGTTGGAGGTAGGTTGCCTTCATCTGTTATTTATTTTGTGATCAATAGCTAATTAAAAACTTGTGAAATTTGCAGAGTGAGTGGCCAGCATAAGATCTCTAAAGAAAATACATTTCACACAAACACAATCAGTCACATATTCTAGAAAAGCCTATCCTAAGACCATTCTTCTTTATCCCTCTCTGCCAGGGAAATGCATTGAGAGTGTTGGCACTTAACTTATATTCAACCAGTCTTTACCAGATTAAGGCTATTGGTAATAAAGTATATCAAGTAAACCTCAGATAATCAAAGACACTCAAAATATCAGCTCTCAGACCATGCAGGGGACCAGGGCGATAAACAGAAAAAGATTCTTATCTTATCTTGTCCATTACTGATTTATTTATTTATTTTTAGGTACTTATATAGCACCTTCAATTTACACAGCTCTTTGCATACATATTGTACGTTAACATCAGTTTCAATTGCTTTATTGGCAAGAAGCAAATGTATATGACACACAGAGTATACAGCAATATATTGGGGTTAATTTACTAAAGGCAAATAGGCTGTGCACTGCACGTGCACTGAAAGTGCAGTTGCTCTAGATCTGAGGGGAACATGTACTGGTTCTCCGTTTCCTCCCACACTCCAAACATGCTGTTAGGTTAATTGGATCCTGTCTAAATTGGCCCTAGTATGTGTATGTATGAATGTAAGTTAGGGACTGAAGTGAATGTACAATATATATGTAAAGTACTGCATAAATTGATGGCGCTTTGTAATTATCTGAAATAAATATGAATGTTTGCATTATGCAAGTGTGCAGGTCTGTGCACTCACCATGTTCTCTCAGTAGAAACTGGCAACCAATAGTTATTTGCCAAGAGAACATAAAAGTGAAAGACTTCCCAAAGGATCAACCAGCATTATGTGTCTGCTGAAGTCTTGAGGTGCTGCTATGTATCATGGCTTTTGACTAGTTCTCCTTGAAGTTGGCAAAGGTAACTTATTATGTATAGAAATGTTTATACTACAAAATCAATGGGTAAGCTTAGGAAAAAGCATTACAAGCTTAATGAAAGGGCCTAACATTCTGTTCATTTTGGATCATACATCTGTGATTAAAATAGGTCATGTCAATCTTTTGCAAGATATGTGTTCATTTTTAATACAACAAAAACTCTGCATTACAGATTGACAAAGAACAGTATGACAGAATCCTTGACTTAATTGAAAGTGGAAAGAAAGAAGGAGCAAAGTTGGAATGTGGAGGTGGCTCCTGGGGTAACAAAGGGTTCTTTATCCAACCCACTGTCTTCTCAGATGTCAAGGATGATATGCGCATTGCCAAAGAAGAGGTATGTTGAAATTAACATAGAATAATAGCTTTTTGTTTACAAAAGAAATTATAGTATATGAGATTCTGATGCAGAGGTTGACCATTTTTAATGTAATACTTCAACATGTATTCAGTCTAATACTTTACTTTTTTGAAAAAAAAAAAATATACTAATTTTTACCAAGCTGTAAAATTCTGTGTAAATTGCTGGACCCCAGCTTCAAGCCAATAATATACTGGAAATGACCTTTGAAAAAAGATTGCATCACCACTTTAAAATTCTAATTCTTTCATGAATATGTGCTTTCCTGTGATAGAAACAAAGTTTGATATCATAGAGTTCTTGATCAGAAAACAGAGATCAGAAACACCAAAAAATGATCAGTGGATAGGAATGTAATCAGAAACTATGGAACATAGATCTTGTGGGTATCCAAGACATTTAAAAAGTCAGGAGCTGAAAAAACCTATGACTCCATTTTACAAAAATATAATTTTTTAATTGTTTGGACTGACCTTTATTATTGAATAGAGTCAATCCTCTAATTAATGTATTATGGTATTAGGAATTAATCTAGATTACCTATTTTATCTTTATAGATATTTGGGCCAGTACAGCAGATTATGAAATTTAAAACTATTGAGGACGTAATTAAGAGGGCAAACAACACAACATATGGATTGGCTGCAGGAATTTTCACCAAAGATATTGATAAAGCAATAACTGTTTCCTCCGCCCTTGAAGCAGGAACTGTCTGGTAAGCATTTGAAAATATATTCAATTGTGATATTCAGTTAGTAGTCTGAAAAAATAATATCTTCAGAAATGTAATCAATTACAGTGTCCAAGTGCAATAAAAAATACTGGTCTTAATAGCCAACATTTCAAATCTTGGAGCGGTGTTTAACTCAAAAACAAAAATTAATTATATTGCAGCTTACCAATTCTTAGATGTGGTGGTTGTATTAGTTTTCTTTTTCAGGCTTTTTCCCTTTATTATCGCCTGCAAGTAAGGCTTTATACATGTGGCCATACAGGGGGGCAAACAGCATGCAGTGTCTGTGTAAATAATCAGCCAAATTTCCTAATGTATTTCAATAGGTGGCTGTGCATGCCAGTTGCAGGTCCCAGGTGAATAATTACATAGGCTCTGCTCAGTGTACAACCCCTGCATGGCCATGTGCATGAAGCCCAAATCTGTTACATATTCAGCTCCCTTTAACAGACCAAGCTGTCCAGCAAAAGTGAGTTAACAAAAAATAAGAGTTAAAATATCCCGCGCCTCTTTTAAATGAAAAATGAACCAAATAATGTTATGTTATGTTCTTAAAGGGAGTTCCTGTTAGTAATGTAATTGTGTTCCCGCAATCAATGTACATCAAAGAAAAAAGAAATAGATTGCTGCGCCTCCCAATCAACAAATCAATCCAATATACAATACTATAAATAATACATATGCTATTCAAAAGTGATTATATGCATAAATTATTAACAGTGAATGTCCATATATAAATTGGGAATATCTTCTCTCATTTGCATATAATATATTACTTCATTCCACTTCTTGTTATACAGTTGCAAGAAAAAGTATGTGAACCCCTTGGGATTACGTGGAGTTTTGCATGAATTGGGCATAAAATGTGCTCTGAATGTCATCTAAGTCACAACAATAGAAGAACACAGTCTGCTGAACATAATACTACACAAATATTAGATGTTGCCATGGTTTAATTGCACATAACATGTAAACATTCACAGTGCAGGGAGGAAAAAGTATGTGAAGCCCTAGCTTAATGACTTCTCCCAGAGCTAATTGGAGCCAGGAGTGAGCCAACTTTGACTCCAATCAGTGTGATGATATTGGATGTGTTGCTGACAGCTGTCCTGCCCTTAAAAAACACACACCTGTTTTGGGTTTACTGGTTTTAAGAAGCACTGTCTGATGTGAACCATGCCTCGCAGAAAAGAGCTCTCAGAAGACCTACGATCAAGAATTGTTGACTTGCATGAAGCTGGAAAGGGTTACAAAAGTATCTCCAAAAGCCTTGATGTTCATGTGTCCACGGTAAGACAGACTGTCTACAAATGGAGAAAGTTTAGCACTGTTGCTACTCTCCCTAGGCGTGGTCATCCTGTAAAAATGACTGCAAGAGCACAGCGCAGAATGCTGCATGAGGTAAAGAAGAATCCCAGAGTGTCAGCTAAAGACCTACAGAAATCTCTGGCACATGCTAACATTTTTGTTGACACATCTACAATAAGGAAAACACTAAACAAGAATGGAGTACATGGGAGGACACCACGGAGGAAGCCATTGCTGTCCAAAAAGAATATTGCAGCACGTTTGAAGTTTGCAAAAGAGCACCTGGATGTTCCACAGCACTACTGGCAAAATATACTGTGGACAGATGAAACCAAGATTGAGTTGTTTGGGAAGAACACACAACACTATGTGTGGAGAAAAAAAGGCACAGCACACCAACATCAAAACCTCATTCCCACTGTGAAACATGGCGGAGAGAGCATCATGGTTTGGGGCTGCTTTGCTGCCTCAGGGCCTGGACGGATTGTTGTCATTGATGGGAAAACGAATTCCAGAGTTTATCAAGACATTTTGCAGGAAAATGTACGACCATCTGTCCACCAACTGAAGCTCCGCAGAGGATGGGTGATGCAACAGGACAATGACCCAAAGCATACAAGTCATTCAACAAAACAATGGCTGCAACAGCACAGAATACACCTTCTGGAGTGGCCCAGTCAGAGTCCTGACCTCAACCCCATTGAAATGCTGTGGCATGACCTTAAGAGAGAGATTCACACTAGACATCCCAAGAATATTGCTACACTGAAACAGTTTTGTGAAGAGGAGTGGTCCAAAATTACTCCAGATCATTGTGCAGGTCTGATCTGCACCTACAGGAAATGTTTGGTTGAGGTTATTGCTGCCAAAGGAGGGTCAACCAGTTATTAAGTCCAAAGGTTCACATACTTTTTCCTCCCTGCACTGTGAATGTTTACATGTTATGTGCAATTAAACCATGGCAACATCTAATGTTTGTATATTATTATGTTCAGCAGACTGTGTTCTTCTATTGTTGTGACTTAGATGACGTTCAGAGCACATTTTATGCCCAATTCATGCAAAACTCCACGTAATCCCAAGGGGTTCACATACTTTTTCTTGCAACTGTACTTCACATCACTACAGTCCACCTTTAGATTGGACCTGTATTGGGAGGCACAGCAATCTATTTCTTTTTTCTTTAAAAGTGTGAGTTAGAAGGTTGAGACAAACCACTTAACACTGAAAGAAAATACAACTGATGCTGTAACAAGTTTGTCTTTAATTCGTTTGTCAAGTCAATGAAAATTTGTTGGTGCATATAAAGCTAGCCATAGATGAGTCTTTTTTTTTTTTTCAACCAGTGGGTTGAATGGAAAAAAATTACCCATCCTCTGTGCTATTGTATTCTGATAGAGTAGAGAGTTTCCTGCTGTCAGAATACACTGATTAGCACTGCCAACTAGAGCTGATAGAGTGACAAAAATCTGACAGGTTGGTTGTGCAGAAGTCAATCAGTAGTTTGACTTGTGTACAACCACCCTGCACATACATGGATTGAAATTCATCCGATCCATGTATGGCTGGCTAAACACTACCCTCTCCTCAGACTGAAAACACTGCTGTCTAAAGTTGCTCCTTCATCCAGAGCAGAAACACCTTAAAACAAGAAATGTGTTACTGGCCGGATCACCAGGTAAAAAGGAAAACAAGCTTAAAAGAATAAAACTAGTGCAGATATTACGTTTAAGGATTGGTAAACTGCAATACATTTTTCAGTATTTTTGGTTTTGGGTTGAATACTGCTTTAAGTGTCCTTTTATGAAACAGAGATCAGCTGCAATCCTGAGGATCGTTGCTGATCTCCGATCATTTGTGGTTAGGAAACAGATGATCAGCGGAGAACATGTTCATCTCAGCACACAGATGGCCAGTATATGAAGGAGCGATGTCAGCCCTTCACTGGCAATCTGTGTTCTCCATCCAGATTCTCCAGCCCAGAGCTGGAGAAACGAAGCAGTGATAATTTACCGCTGTTTAGTAAACTGATCTTTTACTGTAATCTCGCCGTTTTCCAGCGTTGAAAACGTTTGTAGATCGCTTCTCTCTTCATTCGGAGAAGTGATCTACACCGCTTCATAAAAACGCATTCAGAAGAGAACTGTCTCCTCTGAGAATGCCGGAGAACTGAGCAGCGGTCATTTACTACTGCTTGATAAAAGGACACCTAAATCTGTACAATACTACACATCATGTTTTGAACAAACATGCCAACCTTTGATATGTATATATAATGCATAACAATTTGTAGTGATCCATGGAGAAAATTAGTTTGGAACAGACTGATTATTAAGAACAACTTTAAAATCCAGAACTAATATAACAAAGATTATGAATAAAATACACGTGTGATAGCTACTACATAGAGGTAAAAACCTTTTTTACAAATATAAACTTTCAATGCTGCAAGTAGAACATTAAAGGTTTAGTAATAGTGCAGTAAACGGGTCTTGGTAAATCATTAATGTGTTAACAGAATTTCTACCTTTAGTTGTCTTTGGCTGAAGCTGGGAATATAGAACCTGCATGAACTTGGCTTATTTGTTTGATAGCATTCTAAAGGTCACATATATTTCCCAGAGTTGGATGTGTTGAGTGAAGCTGCCCAGTAGGTAGCTCTGAGTATAAATGCTGACATAATCAGCTTCTTGAGCAATCTTTAGCCTTCATTAAAACAAGTTACATCCTAGAAATAAAATGTTGTATTAAATCATACTAATAACGTTATAGTCAACCTGACTGAGGTATGTGTAGAACGGTTGTACTGACCAGTTACAGCCCATGTACTTTATGTTTGTACACAATGATGAACCCACTTCAGGTACACCCACACTCTGTCCACTCCTCTTTAGGTGCATGCTTCGCTATAGCCAGCGGCAGTAATCATGCGAAAAACATTTGACAGGCTGCTCATTCTGAAGTCGTTTGATAGATTGGTTTCAGTACAACCAGCCTGCCCATAGAGCCTGCCCATAGATAGCAGTTGCTGCTAAACTGGCTGAATTTTGATCCATCTGTGGATGGTTTAACACATAGAGTAACAGAAAGGCATATTTATCAAGTACTAAATCTGACATTCAGCAACCATTCTCTGCAGAAGAATAGTCCATGTGTTTAAAATGAGGGTGAATGATTCTACACCAGAGAATGGGGCATTATAAAAACCTAAGGGTTTTCGTTGTTGGGCTTTCTAGCCAAACACTGCATTTTTCATTAAATGCAAGTAGCTGTGTTCAAATTGAAAACCCTTGTAATTGTATTGCTCAATTAAAGTCAGCGGGATTTGGCTGACCTGCATTTGCTGTGTTTTCCAAATGCATGTCAAAAGCAGGAAAACAACACCCATTGACATGAAATTAACCATATGCCCAGTAGTAATGTTAATGCTAATACTACAATCAAGAAGATGTGAAATACTTTAGGAAGCTGAATAATACAAACATATCCAATTTTGGGCCTGATAAAGTACAACTAAGACATGCATAATAATTGCACACATTAGATAAAAGGGAAAGGGAGACAGACCTACATTTGTCAGCTAGTAGACTTTCCTGTGTTTTCTCGGAAGGATTGTATACCAGTCTAACCTTTCCAACCTTTGATTGTGCTCCTTTGATCTCTGCTCAAAATCTTTATTAAGTGGGGATAGAAATTCAACATGGAAAGCATATCAAAAGTATTTATTTTTTTAAATGAGCCACATATTATGGGAGAAAAGTCAGATTTTCTAATAACCGGAATAACTGGACAGTATTTCTCACCTACTGATAATTCTGGACTTTCATCTAAGTACAACATGGCAGAGCTTCAGAGAAGAAGATAACTGGGAGAAACACTGAAACTTGGCAGCAATGAATATCTTAGCGTGTACTCCAACAGTCATCCATATAAAAGAGGGTATTAATGAAACTACATACACTATCATTACAGTAACTACTCTTTCAGGATATAATAGTGGCTTGCACAAAATTGTATCTTCATAGTATACTAGCATTATCATGAATGCATTATTTTGTAAGGTTATTATGTAACACATAACTTTCAAATTTAATATTTGTCATTATTAAAGCTGGTCACAAATAATGCAAATAGACATATGGGCAAAATCTATTTGAATTATGATCACAAATATGGTAAATAGGAAAAGGTTTGAATTTTCAATTAGCCATGTGTGTATTGCTTTTAGCAGAAAATGTGCCACCTGTAATCATACCACCTCCCCCCTTCTTCATTTTTTTTAGCTTTCACCTGGGTGGAAGAGTTTAAACTATATGTCAGGCCAAAGAACAAATGCAGTACATATCTGCAATACATGCAAATTACCATTTGTTTAATCCCCTTAAAGACCCAGCATGTACAGTAAAACACCTTTTGATCTGCTAAAAATGTATTTGGCTCCTAATTTCTGTATGCTGACAATTCACAACTAAATTACAAGAAATGGTGTTGCTAAACTTGTGAATACCTTCCCAACATAGAGCCTTCTACAACATACAGAGCATTTGCTCTGTAGTCAAAGAAAACAATTAGGAGGTCTGACAAGACTCCTTGAGATACCACAAAAAGGGGAATAAGGAGGAGGACAACTCTGAATTTCTATCAAGATCAATAGGTATTTTTTGCACTTGTTGAACAGATATAAATATGCTTTCAACTGAATATTTAACAGAGCAAAACAAATAAGTAAAAATAATTCATAGGGTTTACATATGCTTTAAATATATTTAATGTAAAAAAAATAGATTTTAATACTGAGTTGTATGGTCAATGTAATTTTCACAAACACTTTAACTCATAAATCGAATACCAGAAAGCAACCCCTTGCTGATTCTACAAACAGTTCCAGTGAGTTTATATGGATTGCTGAGCCACATCTTCAGCTCATGGCTTTGGTGTGTGGAATGTGTTTTTGCTTTTTCTTCTCTTACCTCTTAGCTCAATCTTCCACTCCCAGCTGAGCAGGCCCATTAGGATTTATGAGCAATTTACTCCCTTTACATTTACTGGCTGCATTTCACTTGCTAAATTGTCTTAATAACACCCTAAGTAACTGCTTTCCAAAATTAAAGTCCCTTTTTCCGAGTCATACTCAGCCAAGCCCAGTCTGCAGCTCCCTTTGAAGACTGGGATGCAGGGCAGTATTCCAACATGATAAACGACCCCAAACACACCTCCGAGACGACCACTGCCTTGCTAAGGAAGCTGAGATTAAAGGTGTGGACTAGCCAAGCATGTCTCCAGACCTAAACTCTATTGAGCATCTGTGGGGCATCTTCAAATGGAAGGTGGAGGAGCGCAAGGTCTCTAACATCCACCAGGTCCGTGATATCGTCATGGAGGAGTGGAAGAGGACTCCAGTGGCAACCTGTGAAGCTCTGGTGAACTCCATGCCCAAGAGGGTTGAGGCATTATTGGAAAATAATGGTGGCCACACAAATATTGACACTTTGAGCCCAATTTGGACATTTTCACTTAGGGGTGTACTCACTTTTGTTGCCAGCAGTTTAGACATTAATGGCTGTGTGTTGAGTTATTTTGAGGGGACAGCAATTTACACTGTTATACAAGCTGTACACTCACTACTTTACATTATAGCAAAGTGTCATTTCTTCAGTCTTCTCACATGAAAAGGTATAATAAAATATTTACAAAAATGTGAGGGTGTACTCACTTCTGTGATACTGTTATGTATATTTTGTAAAATAGGGGCATATAAACAAATTAGCAAAGTGACAGTTGTAAATTATTCAACCCCCAATCTGTAAAGGGGGTTTATTACTATAGTGTTACATTTGGAATTGTATTCCAAATGTACTACAAGGACACTACCCAAATGCAAGACATCAATTGGGTAGTGGTATGTGGTTTCATTTCTTCCACAAATTATTCAACCCCTTTCTCACATGAAGGGCTTTCCATCAGGTATTAATAAAACTTTCACCGACAGCAATTAAGGGCAGCTTTAAAATGACTCATTGTTCACTTATTTGTGGGAACAAGGAGATCTGTATTTACAGGGCAATGCTATATTGCAAACTGTATAAACATACCCATACATCATTAAATTATAGGGCACTGTTGTAAACGTACCTGGTTGTATATTTGCTGTACCTATATATAGAGTATGCCTTATATTCAGCCCAGACAATAAAACACTGGTAATGAAGGCCTCCGTGCCAAACTATACTGTCTCCAAAGAATAGTCGAAAAAGCACAAAAATGTGGGTGTTCTGTGGACTTCATTCTTTTCCCATGATCCAGCAATAAGAACATATATGAACAAAAATGTGAAGCATGGTGAGAGTAATACTTGTTGTTTTGTGCAGAATACAGGGACTATCCTCAGCGTGTAAGGTATAATACTGTTCATACCAGATATGGATATGATGCATCCGTCACACACCTATTTTGGACAACAGGACAATAAACTGATGCAGAGGAAATAATTATTATAATAGTGGACTTAAAGAAAATTCGCAATAGAATGTAATGAAAAGCAGTACCCAGAAACAAATTAGTTTAAAATAACTATTAAGGAAGGAAGAAGTAATACTTGTATCACTTGGGGGTTGAATATAAAAACTGATAATGCTGTCCAGCCATTAAAAGGAAACATAATGTCCCCTTTAATGCCAAGAGCAAGATATGATCAAAAGCAATGTCAAACTGGCCAAAACACTCAATTTCAGTGGGGGTTGAATAATTTTGGTCACAACTGTACTTGTATCCATATCCAGAGCGAACAGGTGATAGTGTATTGGTAGACTGACTAGTGCCAAAATGACACAAGGACAATGACTTAAACTGATGACTTAATTATTATAAGTAGTGGGTTAAAATTCAAGAAGCAGTAGGAGAGTCAGAGAAAGCACAGAAATACAGAAAATTAAATTCTAAGTTCACTATTAAGGAAAAAAGAATAAATGCACATATTGTTCCAAAAAAAATGCATTTAATATTTTTTCCTGCAGGAGCCTGAGAAGTCAGTGTATCGACTGACTGTTCCAAATGGTGAACCTAACCTTTAAAGCAGAGTCAGGAAAATTATTTCCCTGCCAGTCCCAGGGTACAGCTTCCTCTTTTGCAAGCCCTTAGGAGTCAATGATCAGCACACTGCTCAAAAATACCTTTGTAATTGGTAAAATTATGATTAATTTAATTGATGTGTTGTTAGAATCAAAAGTGCAGTGTGAATTGTACATCTTGCTGCATGTCTTTCAGAAAAAAGTATTACTAAGGTCTGCAGTATCAGCTTGCTCTATGGTGGGGGTCAGCAACCAGTAGTTTGTGATCTACCAGTAGATCTTGGCCAGGTGACTTGTAGACCTCTCTCTGAGCTTGCCATCGCAGAGCATCAAACAGAGCGCAATGCAGAGGAACTTTTTGTAAAGTTGGAGCTGTAGTAGAAGAAAGAGTCACATAAGCTGATGTGTCCTCTGTAGTGATACTCCTATGCCCTGTCATGGTTGTTGGGTTTAGCACCTACCAAGCATGGCTCATTCAAGTGAATGAGGCCGCTCTAAAATTACCCTGCAACCTTGTGCAGTACAGCAAACAAGGGGTTAAACAGGCAGTGGTGTGTTGCGTTCCCACCACCTGCTTTAACCCTTTGGCCCCTGCAGGGCATGTGCAGAGTGGCCCATTTACTTGAATGGGTCTTGGTTGATAGATGGTAGCACCCACCAAAAGCAACAGGGGGTGTAATTCCTACTGCGGCATGTGTATACCTTTGGCTGCTGCCTCAGTAGCTAAAGGGGGTAGGGATTGGGGGCAGTAAAACCATGATTCAACTGTAGGGTTTTACCACCCCCCAATTTTACATGTGAACAATCCATTAGGGTGCCATTGCCTATTACAACTAAGGGCTCATTCACAGGTGCAGTAGGCACTACTGCTCCTCTGCAAAGCGATCCCAGTGCATTTAACAGGTGGTGAGGAGGCGATATGTTGCCTCCTCATCACCTGATTTAAACCCATAATTGCTGTGCAGTGCAAGCGATTGTGACATGGTAGTACAGCAATTAGAGGTTAAATCAGGTGTGAGGAGGCAACACTGTGCTTGGTGATCTTTGATTTCTCCCATGTTGTTCAGGTAGATTTCTACCTCTTTAAGGTTACCCACCCCTGCTCTATGGTATTTTATGTCTTTCATAGTTCCTATATATTTCAGTTTTTAAGAATACCATTGTTTTCTTTTTATTTATATTTCAGGATAAATTGCTACAGCGCCCTGTCCCCACAGTGTCCATTTGGAGGATTTAAAATGTCAGGAAATGGACGTGAAATGTAAGTAATTATATAGACAGACCTTTAGTAACAGTTATTTGAAAAGGGATCATCTATCAGTGTAATTACCCTAACTTTGCTTTTGTTGTTTGGAAGCCAATTCAAGCTTTCCCAAACATGCACCAGTAGAAACTGATTCTTCATTGTGCGTTTGGGCCTAATTTAAATTTCATTATGCGTTTACCTGGTCATATTTGAAAATTTCACCATTTCTATATTCTCCACAAACATTCAGATTGCACTGGTCATGACAGGAGTGCTTGCCTAAGGACTGCATATACAGAGGATTGCAAAAAATATATGTCCTTATGTAGTATCCTTGATTGTACAAAAATATACAGTATATTAACTACCATTTATTTTGTATTATTTATTACGGTACTAATATAGTGCTGTCAATTTATGCAGTGCTTTACATATATATATTATACATTCACATGAGTCCCTAATTCTCAAGGGGTATACAATCCCTAACTTACATTCATACATACACATACTTGGGCCAGTTTAGACAGGATCCAATTAACCTACCGGCATGTCTTTGGAGTGTGGGAGGAAGCTCAGTCAGGCACAGAGAGAACATGAAAACTTCAAGTGGGTGGTACCATGGTTGGGATTCAAACCAACGACCATGGTACTGCAAGGGAGAAGTGCTAACCACTTAGCCACTGTGTTGCCTCATTGGCAACTGAAATTAATCCTTCAGCTAATTAGGCCTTAAATGATCAAGCCAGCCAAAAGAATCATAGCATTATATAGAGAGGGACACTGACCTATTTTAAAGAGAATCAGTAATGATTGGGCTTAGTGAGAATCTGAACATTCAGTTTTAAATAGTTAAGAATGTGCTAGCTTACTTATGAAATATCTTGCAAGTTCAGTTAAAACCTAACTAAGGCTAAACTTACTCCAAACCCCCCATTCTAAGGATATTCTATCTAACCCTGTAAAGAAAAGATCCCTATACTTACAAATTCTAAAGCCTCTCCAGTCTGGTCCCAGGGTCAGCTGTCAACAGCGGCATCTGTGTAGAGGAGGAGCAGCCGACAATGGATGCCCATATTATGTCTATGGGTGACGTCCTCTCCTCTACATAGAAGCCTTTGCTGTAGACCGGACTGGAGTGGCTTCAGAATAGGTAAGTGTACAGGTCTTTTCTTTACAGGGTTAGATAGAATAGCCTTAGAATGGGGGTAGGAGTAGGTTTAGCCTTTGGTTTTGCCTGAACTTCCACTTTAAGATTTAGGAGTCAGAGATATATAAAATCTGAGATTTGCTGTTATGTGCACTGCTTTACCTCACATGTTGTCTCCTATTTCCTGACAATGCATAAAGTAGTAGATTATAGATTCCCATAATTAAAGCACAATTCTGGGCTCCACCCTCCTCTTCCAGAAGACTCCTAGTCCGTGCAGCAAAATGTGGGTTTTTTTTAATATATATTTTTACTTTCCTTTTTCTGATGTCTTTTGGCAAGTCACATGTGGCAATGAGTTCTTGATATTTCTTCCACTATGGTCTTCTTCCAGAGATTGGTGTTCCTGGATGATTCTCGCTCTCTGCCTCAATATGCTGAGAGTACAGGGCACTGTTATGGCACCTTCTCAGAAGGTAGGACCATAATTGCTGCACTCTTACTCTGTCTCCAGTTATTTGGGTTGAAAGACGCTGGGTATCAAACATCCTTTATGTCTTAGTACATCTTGAATCAGAGATACCTACAAAGAAACGTACTGGGTGCATCTGATTGCAAAAATGGGGACACCACATCCAAAAGGATTTTAGAAGAAACTACAGAACAACAATATATGGACTTTTAAGGTGCCCCAAAGAGTAACACACAGTAATACATTACAGCAGAAAACATGCGAAAACACATTGAGGAACTATAGTCATCTTCAATACAGCTATTATACCTTGCTAAGATCAATTTATATCACATTTCCTTTGTGTCTAATGCAATGTATGGTTATTGTGGGCTCTGCTATAATGTAGCAAGTTAAGAAGGATTTTAGTTGGACTTTGTCTAGTTTTTATATTCATTACCAATAAATTATTATTTTTTTATTTATTAGTATTATGGGGAGTGATTCTCCCTTATACTTTTAAACATGTGTTTACAGTGTATTACTCTTTGGGGCACCTTAAAAGCTCATATGGTGTTTTTTTGTAGTTTCTTCTAAAGTTTTAATGCAGAGATCAGGTGCTATATGGGCCAGCTCAAGATTGAAGGTGTGTACTGCAACCACAGTTTTAAATAAAGATGTATAAAAAAATTAATAAAATCACTCTGGAGTTGGCCTTTAAAGTAGAATTAAGCTTAAAACAATGTTGTTGTTCATGTGGCATTAACACATTGCTCTGTTGATGCTCCCTTCTTAGCAGCCAACAGCAACAGGATCGCTAAAATGACAAGGCCCTTATTCTGTAGCCCTGGATTCTGTAGTCCTTGGGTTCCCTAGGGTAAATATGGCCATCCAGGCAGGTTTGAAGTGTTGGTAATCAAATCCCATTTTACAAGAGGGTTGGAAATGGAAACATATACTAGACAAAATACTTAGGCTGTCGTTCCTGAAATCTGTCTGAAAATGCGATTTGTTCTAGCTGTCCCTGGCTTCAGTACTTTGAGTTACTGCCTTGAAACAAGCATGCAGCAAACCAGAACTCTTAATCGACATACCTGTTTCATGCCAGTGGCTTAAAAATGCTAAAATTCAGATGAAAGAGAGCCAGAAAACTAGCATTTAGGACAGCAGTAGCCTCCCTGTATGTTGTAGATCCTATTATAAAAGAAACAAGATTAAACATTGCATTTACTGCTCAAGTAAGGAAAAAAAATGTGTTTTTTACTTGATTTAAGGCGTTGTCTTGATAACCAGGGGAACACATGGAAAACAAAAGGGAGTGGGGCAGGAAAGAGGAGAAAGATGATTGAAATCTTAGTGAAAAAATATTATTTAATAGCTGGGTCTTCTTTCAGTATTGTGCTTTTAGTACAAATTAGCTAATCTATGTCAAACGAGGACATGGCAAGAGTGTTTGCACTGTTCAAGCAAAATATGTTTAATTAGCAGATGGAGCTACTGATAAATGGGCAAAGGATGCATGACCTTACATTTTTCAGGTTTGCAATAATACAATGCAATCCCTGTCCCTATCCTGCTTATCACTGTCACATCATGAATGTCCCTGTGTTTCTCCTTTATAGAAATTGCTTACAATAAATTATCACAAGAACCCAGGAGGGCATGATAGTAATAAAGTGATGGCAGATGAAAACATACCAACTAACAATCAGGCTGCAGAAAAAAAAAAAACGAGAAATTAATCATTTACAAACTGAACAGCGTACAGTTCAGCTGATGTTTAATTTAGTAGATTTTACTTTTTTTGAATAATATACACAATTTCATTAATATATCAGTACATGAAAAAAGTCAGTACTATAAAATGAAGGTGTTCTCATTTTACAGCTACCATAAATCAGTCTAGCATTCTGTACATGCAACAGTACATGTATACATTTATATATACTGTTTGATCAATACAGGTGGATGTATAAAGCTGAAACTGTGATCCAAGAAGAAATCCTGCTATCTAGTGTTATCACTCCTTGTACCTTTTTTTTTTTTTACTTTAACCCTTTTATTTCTATTTTAGCATGGCCAAAAAAGCAAACAAAAAATATCCAAACTAATACATATACCCTGCTCTGTACTAAATGGTGAACATTTTTTGCAGTGAAGTCAATGGGATTGATTTACTGATTTGCTAAAGACAAATAGGCTGTGCACTGCAAGTGCACTCCAAGTGCATTTGGAAGCACACTGCAAGTTCAATAAAAGTGCAGTTACTCTAGATCTGAGGGAAACATGCAAGGAAAATAAAAAAACAGCATTTTTGCTTGCACATGATTGGATGAAAGAAATCAGCTGAGCTTTGCCACATTACAGAGCTTCCTCTTGGATATCACTGAATAAGGCATTATAGCAAGAAGACCTGTAAAAGTAATCTTGAGTTTCAGTACAGATCTGAACGCATTGCTATTGATTTCTATAGGCCTATGCATACAGTGCCTAAAGATCAATAGATTTGTGCTGCGTACAGATCTGTAAGAACAAAATTGAAAAATCTGCATCCAAGGTCAGTATTGTATGCACATATGCATAAATACTGTATGTGGGTAAATGCATTATTCATTACTGCCATCTGCACGTACCCTAAGTATATTACATTCTGTGCAAAATGCCTAGAACTTTAAAAAAGAAAACAATAATGAACTATATATAGCAGAAGAAGAAAAGCAAAAAAAAAATTATTTTGATGTATGCATCTCTCAAAGAAAATGTTAAATTGTATACAGAGTGCTTGGCTAGTCAAGAAATTTACATTGAGTGTTTGTTTACTAAGGACTAATCTAAAACTTGTAAAACCAAAGACTAGTACAAACGATGTGAAACTTTTCTGAAAAATACAGCTGTCAGAGGGATCGTCTGATAATCTGATTGTTAGTACACAGCTTTTGAGAACCGATCACAGCAGTTCATATGAAATTATCAGAAGGGACAAATGTGAACATTTTTCTCATACGATAACAGAACAAACGATTTTCGTTTAATCAGTACAGCATTCGTCTGTACAAAAGATCAAGTGTCCTGGACCACGCATGTATGGAAATGAAAGAATACATTACCATACAGTACAATACATTACATCATCACGGGAAGCTGTATTCTGTCTTACGAGAACTTTCATAACTCTAGTAACTGATTCGTTGTTGATATGTGACTAGCATGTGAAAACCAAAAAATCGGAGTCATTTATCCGGTATGACGCTTTATGGTTTAACTGCTTCTGTGCCACCCTATAGCAGAAATACTGCTACAGGGCGGCATGGGTGTGCAAAATCATGTATATATACGTGACACCAAGAAAAAAAAAATCCCAGTATATATACCGCCATTTGTAAACGCTATAACTTTCACATAAACCAATTAATTTACA